AACATGCATTTCAGGCTTATATTTTATTTTTTAAAGAGTTTTTTTTTATTTCTTTGTTATAATATTTGTTGAGAGTTTGTGCGCAGCGGAATGATTGTGGAATATAATATGGATAGATAACCTAGATGATGGTAAATATATTTAACTTGCTCTTTTATCTAATTTTTATTTATTTTAATTTTACTAAAATAAAACTAAAATCAAACCACAAAACAAAAATAAAGTGCAAGTAAAATAAATAGAGTTTGAGAGATGACACCAGGATTTTATCGAGGAAACCCCAATTGGTAGAATAGACCAATTATAACAGGAAAAACCTCTTTGAACTCTCCAGTCCTGATATAAATGATCCACTATGTTTGAAGCAAAGTATACCGAACTTTGACTCAGTCTCACACTCTATCGTTCTACCAAAAACCAATTGCTGACAATCTTTGGCTTTGCGACCTCCCCGTCCAATAGCTCTCGACCTCAGGCTTACTCTCGATCTCTGTAGAAGAGCTGCAGGTAGATTAGACAACACTCCACGAATACTCTGACCCCTTCAAAGTGTGATCGCTTCACCCCTTTTCTTCTAGATCTTAATTTGACGAAGAACGAATGAATTCTGCTTTTCCAGAATTTCTAAATCTTCAATTATGCTTCAATTCCGATGAGATAGAGAATAACACTACTAAATCACTCTGTGTTTATGTGTGTGCTCTCAAAAATAAAATTAAAACAATTAGATTGATTTTATGAATAAAAATATCTCTAAAAAATGGCTCTCAATTGGATCTGAATTTTCTATGCAAAAGTCATGAATAAACCTATGTGAATGACAAGGTTTATATGGAGTTTAGAATTTTCTAATCCCTTTGAAAATATAGAAAATTTCATGCATAGGATTTGGTACAGTTCTAAACCAAATAGGAAAAGAAATTAGAAACAGGAAACTAGAATTGTAACCTGAACAGGACTTCTCGAATTGGTTCAAGGGTGCTGAGCCGGTTCAAGATTGATAGTGAGAATTTGAAGCCAATCTTGAAGGCCTTGAACCAGTTCAATGGGGCTGAACCGGTTCAAGTCTAGCAGACTTGAATTTCAGTTCTAAAAGGCTGAAAACACTGTTTTGGTAAGTTATGAAAATATACCTTGTGTAGAATATGTCCTCACCTTTTTAGATTCATTCCTAAAGTGTTGTTCTTACTTTTTTTTTCGAATGAGCTCAATCATGGTAACTTTGAACAACCTTCCAATTCTGCAGTCGCTGTCGATGCCGATATAATATCTTGAAATTATAACTCGACAATAATTTGTTTTGACACCGAAAGTTGCCAATAACAAAATATATATTTTTTACAATCTTCTCATTATATATATATATATCTCACAATCTCCCCCTTTGGCAATTTCGTGACAAAACCCTAAAAACAATATGTAATCTACCTAAACAGAAAAAACAAATTACAATGAATGGTCAAAGAAATACAATTGAACTCTTCTTGATCATCATGAAGCTTCAACACATGTAGCAACCTGTAATTTGCATATTAGTTCAACAAAACTACTCGGGAAGCTTAATCAAGAAAGATAAACAATCAACATATATCAATATGTGTGAATATCAATATATAATATATATATATATATATATATATATCTCCCCCTCAAATATGAACACTTCTCCCTCCTTTTTGTTACAAATTGACAAATATGCACACTTCACTACATTCACCGCACCAAAGAAGGAAAAGAAAAAAAAAATGTGGGAGAATTAACAAGAAGAGAGATCAAAACTATCATCCATGTATAAGATATTGCTATAAGCACAAAAACATGATGATATATAGTAGCAATGGAACCAAAAACTAGTATCTAAGATAACACATGTTCCATCTACAAGATATATAAGAACCAATCATATTCAAAATCACACACATAATATCTCCATCCAATCAAAAATAAAAATTCCTAATAAAAACTAAAAGGAAAATCTTTTTGGATTTTTTTTTTATTTTTATTTTTCATTTTTCTAATATTCGAACAAAAAAATATGAGATAGCAATTTCCATGAATTTCAAGCATATATGAAATCCAAAATTTTTTGAAGAATTTCAAGAGAATCTTGAAACACAATTTTTGCACATCAAGAATCTTTTCATCAAATAATCATGTTTCCCTAATTTGCATTCAAAAATAATTAATTCAAGAGAAATAATTATCATTCATGCATTGACAAGAAAAATATGATCATCACTTTCTCAGGAAAGAAAAAAACTTAAATCCTAAATTACAAGATATGGTCCAATGAAAACAAGATATTCATCAAAGCATAGTCCATGACCATAAAAACTCTTTAGGACTTAGTTAGGGGGGTTTGCACCCATAGACTTAATAGGAGTAAGTCCCATAATATCAACAGGCACATAATTAACCAAGTCTTCCTTTTTGATCCACTCAGTCTTTACATTCAACTTTTGAAAAGACTTTTCAATTTCAACCTTTTTTTTGTTTGAGTAATTCTTAGCATGAGAATTTTTGGGTTGATTCACAAAATTTTGCTTAGCATAAGAACCAAAAGCATGAAATTCAGAAAAAGATTATCTTTTCTTTTTATAACAATAGTGTTGACTATATCTAGTTCTACCACAATAAGAACAATAAAGCACATTGGACACATTCTTAGCATGCATAAGATCAACAAAAAGTTTAGGCTTAACAATAGGCACATTCAAGTTTACGGGTTTAACAGTTTGACCCTCTTTACTAGATGAAGCCTCATTAAAACCTAATCTAGTTTTATCGCTTATATGCTTACCAACATTAATCATCTTATTAAGCTTAATCTGTCCAAAAGTAAAAGCAATGAATTTCTCTTGAGATTTTTCTAATTCAGGTTCAAGAAAATTAATTTTAGCAATAAAAGATTCTCTATCATAATTAGCTTGACTTACCTCGCTCTTGATAATTTTTACTTTATCTTGAAGATTCTGAATTTTAACTTTGTTCTCCTCAAGCAAATTCTGTTTTTGCTTATTCTCCTTTTTCAAGATCTCATTCTCCTTTTTCATCAACTCTAGTTCCTTATATTGCTTCTAATTAGCCTTTAACATTGCCTCAAAGATTTTCAATGTATTGCTTTCACTTGGTTTTCCATCAATTTTCTGATTATCCGAATCATAAGAACTAACCTTGCTTAATGTCCCAATTTTGATAAAATCACCTACATAAAAAGAACCTTGCTTAATGTCCCAAATTTGATAAAATCACCTATATAAAAAGAAGAATTATTAGCAGTATCATTATCAACATTAGCAAGAAAAGTGTTAGAAACATCTTTCTTATTTTTCTTATATTTGAATTTAGAAGAATCTCCTTTACTAAAATTTTTATTCTTTTTATTTTTAAGGAGTTTTCCATATCTTTTAAATAAACGAGAAAGTTCTTCATCCGAACTTAAATCATTAAAAACAAGATCCAATTCACCCTTATTCATAGGATTTTCCATCATGAATTTTTGAAAACAAAAATAATTTTATTTTTCAAAAAAAAACTTCCACAAGGATTAACTCAATATATAGAGGTTGGCTCTGATACCACTTGTTGAGAGTTTGTACACAGCGAAATGGTTGTGGAATATAATATGGATAGATAACCTAGAGGATAGTAAATATATTTAACTTGCTCTTTTATCTAATTTTTACTTATTTTAATTTTACCGAAATAAAACTAAAATAAAACCACAAAGCAAAAATAAAGTGCAAGTAAAGTAAATAGAGTTTGAGAGATGATACCAGGATTTTATCTAGGAAACCCCAATTAGTAGAATAGACTAATTGTAACAGGAAAAACCTCATTGAACTCTCCAGTCCTGAAATAAACGATCCACTATTTTTGAAGAAAAGTATACCGAACTTTAACTCAGTCTCACACTCTATCGTTCTACCAAAAACCAATTGCTGACAATCCTTGACTTTGCGACTCCCCCGTCCAACAGCTCTCGACCTCAGGCTTACTCTCGATCTCTTAGAAGAGTTGCAGGTAGATCAGACAACACTCCACGAATGCTCTGACTTCAAAGTGTGATCGCTTCACCCATTTTCTTCTAGATTTGAATTCGACGAAGAACGAATGAATTCTGCTTTTTCAGAATTTCTGAATCTTCAATTATACTTCAATTCCAATGAGATAGAGAACAACACTAATAAATCACTCTTGTGTTTATGTGTATGCTCTCAAAAATAGAATCAGAAAATCAGATTGATTTTTTGAATAAAAATATTTCTAAAAAATGGCTCTCAATTGGATTTGAATTTTCTATGCAAAAGTTGTGAATAAACCTATGTGAATAACAAGGTTTATATAGAGTTTAGAATGTCCTAATCCCTCTAAAAATATAGAAAATTTCGTGCATAGGATTTGGTACAGTTCTAAACCAAATAGGAAAAGAAATCGGAAACAGGAAACTAGAATTGTAACCTGAACATGACTTCTTGAACCGGTTCAAGAGTGCTGAATAGGTTCAAGATTGACAGTGAGAATTTGATGCCAATCTTTAAGGCCTTGAACCGGTTCAATGGGGCTGAACCGGTTCAAGTCTAGCAGACTTGAATTTTCAGTTCTGAAAGGCTGAAAACACTGTTTTGGTAAGTTCTGAAAATATACCTAGTGTAGAATATGTCCTCACCTTTTTAGATTCATTTTTAAAGTGTTGTTTTTATTTTTTTTTGAATGATCTCAGTTGGTAAACTCGACAAGGATTTGTTTTAATACCGAAAGTTGCCAATGACAGAATATATATTTTTTACAATCTTTCCAAAATATATATATATATATTATAATATTTAGACAGCAAATTAAGCACAACAAACATTAAAGCACTTTCTTTTAAGGATAATACTTAGCAAGTAACAATTTAACATTTAAACAGTTGCACTTGCAAGATAGCAAACCCATCATGATACAAATTACTTATATGTAATTGAAACTAAGAATGGTTGGAAATGCAGCTTCTGCCCTCAAGGCAGTCCACCTCCAACGCCGCCGCCAGCTCCTCCACCAAATCCGCCACCAGCACCTCCACCAAGTCCCCCGCCACCACCACCGCCAAACCCTCCACCACCACCACCACCTCCAGCTCCCCCACCAAGTCCAGACCCTCCTCCAAACCCACCACCAGCTCCTCCTCCAAAACCAGACCCGCCACCTACTCCTCCGCCACTGCCTCCCCCGAACCCTCCACCACCACCTCCACCAAGTCCACCACCTGCTCCTCCACCAGCACCAGCACCAGCACCTCCACCAAAGCCTGCTCCACCACCAGAACCAGCACCTCCACCCAATCCACCGCCACCGCCACCTCCGAATCCACCACCGCCTCCACCACCTAATCCTCCCCGGTGAAACAATCCTTTTTCTTCTTCCAGAGAAGTCTTTGAGCTTACAAGCTTCCTACCATAGGTGTTATAGACAAGAGAACCAAGAAGAAAAAGAAGAAGAAACTTGGAAGTCATCTTTGCAAGTTGTGATATATATTAAAGATGACTTTAATATTGATGAAAAGTGAGGACTCGATGTGGGTTTATATAGACACAAGGACCCATATGATTAAGTTTATCGTTGAGAATGTTTTAAATGTGTCCATCTTCTTATCTATAAACCGCGTTGGGATGTTAATGCAACCAAATGTAGGTAGGCTGCAGCTCATCAGAGCAGTCTTTTTTTCTACTCATATGTACCGGTCATTCAAGTTCATTCTGCCCATGAGCACCATACATAAGCTTGAAAGCATTTTTTTTTTTTTTTCCCATAAAAAAGGGTATTTACTATTCTTATGTATGTATATAATCTGTACCTATATATCTGTACCTATATATTTGTACATTGTCTTCCACTTCCTCGCCGCCCACTGCCGCGCCAACCTCCGCCGCACCATCCTCACAACCTTCCCTTACCTCACCTTCCGCCTCTACCGGCCACTTCGACACCAACCTCGTCCACGGCAAGATCTCCGCCTCCAGCCACCGCGCGCTCGACCAACCCCTCAACTACGCCCGCATATAACAGAGACCCAATTCTTGGGTTTTCTTTAACTCAAAACCAATGATACCAATTTGTAAAATATTTCCTTTCCAGAAAAAAAAAATATTTTCTTTTCCCTCACAATTCAGAATCGCTCATTTCTATTCAACACACTTTTATCAATAACACAGACCCAATTCTTGTTTTGTCCCACCATCTAGGGTTTTCTTTAACTCAAAACCAATGATACCAATTTGTAAAATATTTCCTTTCCATAAAAAAAATTCAAAAACTCACATGAATTTAAATATATTATATACATAATTAGATATAAAAGAACATATGATCCAAGATCAAGTGATTTAGAATATATACAGTAACTAATAAAGAAGATTTTAAGTCGAGAATCGAAGAAAACAAGCAAATCCATCACACATATATGTAATTGTTTTTTTGGGTGTGTTTGGTGGCCGGCTTTAATGGCTGAAAATCGGCGGAACAAGCACCGGTGGTGATTGATGGCCGGATTTTTGGGTGGTGTTTGGTGTTTGTTCCTCTCCTCTTCGTAAAGACGGCGAATTCGCCCAAATCAGCCTCTATTCCTTCTTGGTGTTTGACCGCAGCAGAGAGTTGATGTTGAGGCAGAGGGCGTGAAGAAGACCACGGTGCGGCTCGAAGTTCAGTCCTGCGGCGATGGCGGTTTGTGGTGTTCAGACCGACAGTGATGGTGGTCTGTGTATATATGTATCTGTGTGTATATGACACTGGAGTAAGGGTAGAGAGAGAAAGAGGAGCATGGACGATACCAGAGTTCCTAAGAGAGAGGAAGACCGGTGGTGGAGGAAGACCGGTGGTGAGGATGGTTTTGGTATATTGTATTCGTGTATATGGTAAATATGTATATTGTTTGCAGTACTTGTACATGATAGATAAAACAAAAGTAAGGTTTAAAAGTTATTGTTAACTTGGCGTTTCGTCATCGCCGACAGGGCAATGACATGGTAAAGTAGGTTGACGTGGCTTCATCCCAGCCATTGGATTCTCAATGGACCCTCTCTGGTGAGAGGTGCAATTTGAAAATGTGGTCAATTAGTGAAGTGGGCAAGGGATTGTAGTATAATTTCACAATAATAATAGAATGTACAATTTGGGAATCAAAATAATATCTACACTAACTTTCTATGTCCAAGTCAGCATTTGAAAAATTAAATTTGATTTTATTTTTTTTACATTTGACCACCAAAACACCATTTTAATGAAATTATCCCTTGTAAAATTGACAACAACAAAAAGGTTCTAATTGGGCTCAAGATTTATCTTGTTAGGTTCTTCTATTATTATGTCAACCTCACCTTGTCATGTTTGAGTCTGGTGGGCTCTTTGGCTTGGGCTGTTTTGGGCTAAAGCCTGCTCATGTAAATATTAACCGTCTCTGTCTCTCGTATATTTTATATACAGCTGTTTTTTTCAAAAGTAAAATATTATTTTCCTCTTATCTTTTTATTTTTTATTATTTTGGTTTATATATATTTATTTTATTCTCGTTCAATTTTCTTTTCCACTTTACAGTTTTGTTTAATAATGCCACCAAGTGCTAGTGATTTTTTAAATTTGAAAGTCAAGCGTTTAAGTACTAATGTCCCTTTTTTTCATCAAAGTTAATTAAAATAAAAAAAAAATTTATTTTCTCATGATCAAACAGGTAATGATCTTCTAATTAGAAATCTTTTGGTTGAGTACCCTCATTTTTTTTTTTTTTTGGTAAAAAATATACCTTTTCTTGGAGCACTGAAGAGTGTACATCAGCGTCTCCCTTCTACGTAGTATCAATTAGTTCAGCCGTAGTATTTTGAAAGCAAAAAATAGATACTAAATAATAAAAGATTATTACCTGATTACCGTTCAAAAATAAAAATAAATTTGCTTTTCTAAAAAAAATTAATTTTCAGAAAATTTTAAATGTTTGACTTTTTTTTATACTGTTTTTTGTTTTTGAATAAAAGACAACCAAACAAATCTTAAATATGATGCAATGATGATTGTTTTGGACACTAGTTGTTTGGAATTGCTTCTCAACTGTTCAAAAGCACAAATTTTATTTTAAAAAATTGTATTTAAATGTACTTTTAGTAGTTACCGATTTTAGATCAGTTGAGTTTTTTTGAATCAACCTATAATTTAAAGTTTTCAAAACCTTCTTCTAAGTAGAGGTTAAGGGTTTGTTTAATTTGTAATTCAAAAAACAGTTTTTTGTTATCAGAGAATTGAAAACAGAAAATTATACAAAAACTTTGCTTAGTTCCAATTTTCTGAAACCCCTGTTATAAAAATGTCTGTTTTCAGAGAACTATAAAAGATTGGGGTATGCTTAGTTTGTAATTCTTAAAATAGTTCTCAAAAACTCATAAAATGGAGAACAGTTTTCATATAATTATAAAAGATTGTTCTTTAAAAATAAGTATTTTTGTAACTGAGACAGAAAATTGAACTAAGCAGAATTTTTTATATATTTTATGTTTTTTGAATTCTTAATAACTGTTTTCAGAATTACAAATGAAGCAGATCCTAATTTTAACTAACTCTAAATCTTTAGATAATAATAATTTTTTTTTTTTTTTTTTTTTGACAATAACACTTATCCCTTTATAAAATTGTTATTGTCAAATATAATAACATTCTATAAAAGATATTATTGTAAGATTAACAATAGAAACAAATTAAAAAAATAATTTAATTATGAAAAATACTTATTATAATGATGTTATAATACCTAACATGTTATTCCAAACAAGTTCCGTATCCTTTGAGAAATATGTTAGGTGTTTGGTTATATCCAAGCACAATCCAAAATTTAAACAATTGTTGCTAAGGCTGCAAATGAACTGAGTTGTTTATGAACAGCTCGGGCTCGGCTCGTTAAAAGTTCGGTTCGGGCTTGTTCATGAGTTAAATGAACCGAATTTGAGCTTGATTTTCAAGCTCGTTTAGTAAACGAGCTGAGCTTGAACACTACTAGGCTCGGCTCGGTAAGCTCGTGAACAAGCTTGTTTAGCAAAATGTTTTATTTAATTTATAGTTGGCCCAAATAAATGATACCCAATAGTGTTTATTACTAAGCCCATATCAAAATGTTAAGCCCATACAATAAAAAAATAAATAAAAAAACTCTTTTGCTGAGTCCAACTTATAAGCCCACTTGAATTAGAACCCTAAAATCTCTCCACACAAAAGCCCCACCTGTCAGCCCTATTCTTATCTCAGCATCAGATCTGTGCGGCAAGGCTTCATCAGTTCATCCTCATCTATCATCTCTTTTCAAAGTTCCCCATCTCTCTTCTTTGTCTTCCGCTGTAGTTGATGCATGCTACAAATTCAGCCATGTGATTTGTGAGAAGATGGAGTACGATCGAGATAGAGACCAAAGGAGAACAATGGATGAACCAAGGTTGTTAAAATCGGGATTCTACGCAGAATCGTTTTGGGCTTCGTAGAATCGGAATTGTAGAATCGGATCGTGAATCGTAAGATTCTACCAAAATGTGAAAAACCAATTGAAACTAACTTCTTAAACAATAAGATCTGTAAAATATAACAAAAATGAGGCCAAAACACATAATATTACATATTCATGAGTTCACAAATCTCAAATCCTAACAATATTTCAAAGTCTGAATATAAATAAAAGAGAATATAGCTTAAAATAACATGAGTTTACAAATCTCAAATCTTAACTCATCCATCTCCAAAGTTAGAAACTAATATAATATATCGAAAGGAATTTTTTTTTTTTTTTTTCAAAAACTGAAGAAATAAAAAGACCTTTTTGTCCACCAATCCAAGTGGCATATCCGGCAAGTCTTTTAAACTTTTAAATTATTTTTAATTTTTAATTTATATGATAAGCCTTCAAAAAAAAAAAAAAAAAAAAAAAATAGTCAAATGAAAATATTGATCATGAAACCAAAGTTTGCCTAAATGTATTAGTCACGAGTATGCATCCTTGAGATATAATTGATCATTTTAATTTTTTATAATTAAACACAAAAATATATTATGCAACATCGACATGCATGGTAAAAATAATTGATATATATACATATATATATTTCTTTTTCTGCCAATAATGAAAAATAATTTATATTTTATAGAATAAATATTTAACTTTGCATACTATACTTGGGCCAGGCCTCTTTTAAAAATAAAAAAGCCCAAAAATAAAGGCCCAAATAACCAATTTTGTAGAATCAGTAGAATCGTGTAGAATCGTACGATTCTACCTCCGATTCTACGATTGTACTCCCGATTCTACATCCGATTCTACCAATTGAACGATTCTGCTACGATTTGACTCGATTTTGAGTTCTGAGTCATAGAATCGTGCGATTCTACGACTCAGAATCGCGATTTTGATAACTATGGGATGAACCTCCAAGAAGGCATATTTATAATATATACATATTTACAATTATATATACATAGATTTTGTTTATACATACACATGAATATTTGTTTATGTATATGAATCAGAGATTTGATCCATGGTTCCAACTTCTATGAATATCTTGATACAAGAAGAGATTATATGAGTTTTGGCAAAACGAGCCCTAGCTTGGCAAAATATTCACGAGCCAAAGCCTGAGCTCGGCCTAGTCAAGCTCGCCCGAGTCGAGCCCGAGCACTCCCCTGATTTTGACGAGCCGAGTCCGAGCATGCCAAAGCTCGGCTCGGCTCATTTGCAGTCCTTATTATTGCCATGCAATAAGGGCCATTGGAGAACTTGATGAAATTTTAAATATATTACTGTGCCACTAAATAAAACTTCTGTAAACAAGTAATAGGCAACAATTAACATAGAAGGTAACTGGCATAATTGGTTTGCAGTTCTCGGTCACGCATGATATCGTATGAATCAAGAAAAAGAAAACAAAAAATTAATTGAAAAATGATAAATTTAGAGCATATACATCAATTACATAAACTAAATTACAAGACAAATTATCCATATAGTTAACCAACACATAGATTAAAGTTTATCACCACTAGTATTTCAATATTCTTTTGGAGG